TCCTGCCATTCCCACTTCTTTGGCTGTCTTTGGTTTTGTTCCAATTGGCCACTTTGATTTGCATTCAATGGCCTTGCAGCTTCTAATCCTGGCTGCTTCCTGCCATTCTCACTTCTTTGGCCGTATAAACCTTTGGCCCCATAGTCCAATTCCAAGCAAGCTAGCTGCCTCGTGCTCTGCAGATCTGTGCGTCTCCCCCTTTTCTGCATGGAGGCTGCAGAGCGGGATTAATTACTGCTCTGTTGCAAATGAAATTAAGCTGGCCTGATCGTTAGCTTATTGATGAGACAAACGAGATTAGGCGGCGCATTGTCAATTGGTGGCTGCACCGGGAACTGGATTAAACGAAGGAGCGGCGATTAGTCAGAGCGGCAGCAAAGGAGGAAAAAGGGAGCCAATGGGAACAAGGGGTGAGATGGGGAAAGCTAGAGCTCTGAGATCCCGGGATTGGAGTGGATGGCCATCTGCTGAGAGGGTTCGGATTGTGACTTTCTGCATGGGGTGGAATAGATGGCCCTCGGGGTCCCTTCCAAGTCTACAGGGAGATAAGGAAGGAAGGAGAAAGAGGGAAGGAGAGAAGGAAGAAGGAAAGATGGAAGGAAAGGAAGGAGGGAGTGATAAAGAGGGAGGGAAGGAAGGGAAGGAAGGAATGAAGGAAAGAAAAGGAAGGAAAGACAAAAGGGAAGGAAGGAAGGAGAAAGAGAGACAGGGAAGGAGGGAGGAAAGAGGGAAGGAAGTAAGGATGGAAGAAAGGAAGTATGGAAGGGAAGGACGCAGAGAGGGAGAAAGATTGATATAAGGAAGAAGGAAGGAAAGAAAAATGCAAGGGAAGGAAAGAAGGAAGGAAGGAGAAAGAGGAAAGGAGAGAAGTAAGAGGGAAAGAAGGAAAGATGTAAGGAAGGAGGGAAAGGAAGGAGGGAGAAAGGAGAGGGAAGGAGGGAGGAAAGAGGGAATGGAAGGAGGATGGAAAGGAAGGAAGGATGGAAGGGAAGAAAGCATAGAGGGAGAAAGAGGGAGATAAGGAAGAAGGAAGGAAAAACATGAAGGATGGAAGGAGAAAGAAGGAAGGCGAAAAGTAAGAGGGAAAGAAGGAAAGATGGAAGGAAAGGAAGGAGGGAGGGATAAAGAGGAAATAATGAAGGAAAGAGAAGGAAGGAAAGACAAAAGGGAATGAAGGAAAGAAGGAAGGGTGAAAGAGGGAAGGAAAGAAGGAAGGAAAGACAAAAGGGAAGGAAGGAGAAAGAGAGAGGAGAGGTGGGAGAGGAAGGAAGGGAGAAAGAGGGAAGGAAAGAGAAGGAGGAAGACAAAGGAAAGGAGGAAAGAAGGAGGGAAGGGAAGGGAAAGAGAGGGAAGGAAAGACAAAGGAGAAGGAAGGAGAAAAGAAGGAAGGAAGGAAGGAAGGAAGGAAGGAAGGAAGGAAGGAAGGAAGGGTGGAAGGGAAGGAGAAAGAGGGAGGGAAGGAGGAAGGAAAGAGAGAAGGAAGGAAGGATAGGATGGTGTGAGAGAGGAGGGCCTGAGAAAAGAGCCCAAGGGCCACATCCCGCGGGCCTGAGTTTGCCCATACCTGAGATAGCATCATAATGTCAACTAAGTGGGGTACATCCAAGGTACTGGGATACTCTTCCCCACTCAAAGGAAACCATTCCAAACCATATCCAAAGGCGGCCCTAGGTAATTTTCAACAGTAAGCAAACAGTATTTTGGCACCTCCCCACCCTCCCAACCAATCACTGATATATATTTTCTGTTTGTCGTGGGAGTTCTGTGTGCCATATTTGGTTCAATTTCATCATTGGTGGAGTTCAGAATGCTCTTTGATTGTAGGTGAACTATACATCCCAGTAACTACACTTGCCGCACTTGCTCCCTTGCCTGGCCCGCTTTGGGTCCAGAGGCGTGCCTGAAGACCCCGGCGTGTGCACCAAAAGTCACCTCTTTTCTTGACTTTCTCCTGACCAAGAGAGAGAGAGAGAGAGAGAGGTGGAGATGCCACCTTTCCTGAAGGTAGGCGCAAAAACAAAGGAGGGAGCGGAGGTGGGAGATACCTCCAGCCGGAGGGGCTCTCTCTCTCTCTCTCTCTCTCTCTCTCTCTCTTGGTCCCAATGGCTGAAGAGAAAGTCAGGAGAAGAGGCGACTTTTGGTGCACACGCTGGGGTCTTCAGACACACCTCTGGACCCAAAGCGGGCCAGGCGCGGCGGCTCCGCCCCTTGGCCCACCCGCGGATTGGGGAGAGGAGAGGAGGCGGGTGGAGCACCGGGGGATCGGGAAAGGGAGCCGGTCATGGGGAAGGGATCGAACGCGGAGAACGATTGAGCGCCGGCTCTGCTCGCGCACCCGGTGGCCGGGTGGAGCAGGAACGAGAGGGGCTAGGCGAGGCTCAAGGGGCGATGGTGGTATTGTTGGATTTTTTGGCTTTCTGCTTTTCTCTCTGATGTATTGTTATCTGAGGTGGTGTTGGTTGTTGTGGGTTGTGGTGTGTGTCTTGGATTTGCTGGATGGAGCTGGCGGTGTTGGGTGGATGGATTGTTTGGTGTTGTTGGTGGGGTTTTGGGTGTTGTTTTGTTGGTTTGGTTTGGTGGATGTGGTGGTGTTGGATTGGTTTGGTTTGTTTGGAGTTTTGGTGGATCTGATGTGGTTTTGGACTGGTGTTTGGATGGATGGTTGTTGGAGCAGGGGTTGGTTGGTCGTTTTGGAGCGTTTTGGTCTTTTGTTCTTGATTGGTATTGGTTCATGTTGTGTGTGGAGCTGCTTTTTTGGGGGTTGGAGCTTGACTGGTTGAATTTGGAGTGAGCAGGTTATATAGCGCTGGCTGTTGGTTGCCCGGTGGGGGGTGGAGCAGGAACGAGAGGGGCGAGGCGAGGCTCAAGGGCCCGGCCCCTTTGGGAAGAGGATCGCCCGGCAGCGAGGCAAGAAAGCCGAGGCTCCCCCCGGACTGCTAGGGCTGTTGTGAGCTGAGGGGGCGCTCCTCAAGTGGCGGTCGAGGGGCATTTACAGAGGCGCCTCTGCGCCCCTGGCAAAAAAAAGTGTTCTGCGACCGCTTACTTTGCGTAATGGACGAGCCGCCCCTGACCATATCTCAACCCACTCAGATTGGTTTTTGGGAGCAGACCGATCCATCAGGAGTACATCAGTGGGTCTTTGCCGTTGACTGGCAGTTGAATCTTGCTTCAGCGCTGGCAACATGAGGACAAGCAGGCTCTCCTAAGGGACACGCGACAAGCTGTGTGACACATGTGACTCTGTCCTCCAGCAAAGGAGAAGGATGCCCCAAGGGATCGGGGAACGGTTGGGAGTTCCCAAAGCAACCCCTCTGGCATCGGTTGCCTGAAGCCAATGGTGGGACCGGCCTTGCCAACTCCACTCTGTTGCGCCTATTGTTGAGATGTGAAAGAGGCCCGCTTTGCAGCCATTTGGATGCGAGATCAAAATACTTCCATTTCCTTGGGCATTTTACGCCAGTGTTGTTATTGCTCTAGGACTATATTTTCAATGTTGACCACCCTGGGCATTTTTTTCTATTTTTGATGAAGCGTAATTTATCAATAAGTAGGCAAATAAATCTTGCATGATGATGTTTTACCTCCAGTCAGGCTTTGTTGAATCTACTGTTCACATTTGCGGGATTTATTTATCGTGCCCGAAGCGAATTGAGAATACAGTTATAATGTATAGAAAAAGAACCACAAAGTTCAAAACTTGGCATGATACTAAATTTCCTTTGACCGGAAGCTGGCGACTTGGTGGGTCATGGTGAGAAGGTTCTCCATTGTGCAGGTGGCAGGGCTCAGGCTGCATTGTAGTCAGTGGTCTGTGGTTTGCTCTCCTCCACATTCCTAAAGCTTCAGAGAGCTTGTGTTCAACCATCTCAAAGCTCCCTGCTTGAGTGGTGATGACACAATCATCAGCATAGATGAAACTCTCTGTCTCTTCTGGCAGTGGCTGATTGTGTAAATGTTAAACATTGATGGAGCAAGCTGGTTTTCCCTGTAATAGGGAGTAAGAGCACCTAAAGCTTCAGAGAGCTTCTGTTCAACTTTCCTGTTTGAGCAGTGATGGCATGATCATCAGCGTAGATGAAATTCTCTGTCCCTTCTGTCAGTGGCTAATTGTTTGTGTAAATGTTAAACATTGATGGAGCAAGCTGGTTTTCCCTGTAATGGGCAGTAAGACCTCCTAGAGCTTCGGAAAGCTTCTGTTCAACCATTTCAAAACTCCCTGTTTGAGCGTTGATGACAGGATCGTCAGCATAGGATCGTCTGTCCCTTCTGGCAGTGGCTGATTGTTTGTGTAAATGTTAAACATTGATGGAGCAAGCTGGTTTTCCCTGTAATAGGCAGTAAGAGCACCTAAAGCTTCAAAGAGCTTCTGTTCAACCATATCAAAACTCCCTGTTTGAGTGATGATGGCAGGATCGTCAGCATAGATGGCACTCTCCATCCCTTCTGGCAGTGGCTGGTTGTTTATGTAAATGTTAAGGATTGATGGAGCAAGCTGGTTTTTTCTGTAATGGGGAGTAAGAGCACCTAAAGCTTCAAAGAGCTTCTGTTCAACCATATCAAAACTCCCTGTTTGAGCAGTGATGACATGATCATCAGCATACATGAAAATCTCTGTCCCTTCTGACAGTGGCAGTAAATGTTGAACATTGATGGAGCAAACATGTTCCCCTGAGGCAGGCCATTGTTCTGTTTTTGCCATCTGCTTCTTTGGCCCTGGAACTCAACAAAAAAGCTCCTGTTTTGTAGCAGTGAGGTGGTAATCCTTTGTGATGATGATCTATACTGTTTTTTCTTATTGTATTGAATCTTATGTTGTTAGCCGGCCTGAGTCCCTCCTCGGAGGTCGAGAAGACTGGGTTATAAAAACTCTAAATAAATAAATAATAAATAAATATTACAAATTTTACTTTCACTGCCCTCCATGAATCCTTTCTCTGACTCCGTTCTCTCTCTTCCTTCCTCTCTCTCTCTCTGTTCCCACCTTTCTCGCTTCCAAACAGGACCAGGGGACCGTCGGGGTCATTTTCAACGTGGGCACGGACGACATCACCATCGAGGAGAGCAACGCCATGGTGAACGACGGCAAATACCACGTGGTGCGCTTCACCCGGAGCGGCGGCAACGCCACGCTGCAGGTGGACAATTGGCCCATCAATGAACGGTACCCCGCAGGTAGGGATTGGCAGGCAACGCCCGCCTCAACCCGTGTCCCGGCACGATGCCACACACTTCCATGCATCGCGGAGGTCAGAACCAACTTGATTATTGGGGAATCATTGGGTCAGATGAGTCTCCAAAGGGGAGAGATAGAAGATTTCCTAAGATTCGTCTTTGGGAAATACAGATAGTTGCTCTCTCCCTAGCTGGTCTGTTTCCCATCCAAGCCTTCCTTAGAGAATGTGTCCCACTCTTCTCGTTATCCTCCCTCCAAAAAAGAAAATTGAATAAATCCTCCCAGGGTGCATTGTCGTTCCCATTAGAAAACACACAGAAGAGCCTTTCATTGCTGCAGCCAAAGAGAAGAGGTGCCCGGGGAATTCCCAAACCAGACACACCGAACAAAAGGAGCCTCCTGCCTACAATATGCAATTCTGTACGGAGATTACAACGCCATTTATCACCACATTGTGCATGTCAGATGTCTGGAACAAGCTGTCAGGGACACACATCCCATAATAGCCATATTTTGCTTTATTTTAGCTCCGTTAGGATCCTTAGTCTCCCAGCGCTGGTGTAGTTGCAGCTCTCCGGGGCTTTGGGTAGGAGGAAGTCCTTTCCTTTGGTTTCCTAACCCAGGACAAGGAAAAGAAGGCCCTAGGACAGCGTTTCTCAACTTGGGGGTCGCGGCCACTGGAGGGATCGCGAGTGGGCTTCAGAGGGGTCACCAAAGACCACCAGAAAACACATACTTCTGAGGGTTTTCAGAACCCCTTTGGCAGAGAAGGCTGAGGATCTCTCCGCCTGTCCTTCTCTTCCTTTTTGGAAAAGACGGCAAATCCATCAAAAGCCATTCTTTGCTGTGATTGGCCAGCCTCTCAACCAAGGGGATTGTTTATGAGACTCCAAGCAGGGAGGAGAGAGCAGGCGTGCATGCGCATGCGAGGGAGAGCATGTGAGGCTGGAGGGAGGCTCATGTAAGTGAATCTCTTCAGTCCAGGGGGGAAAGCACCCACACGATGTGGGACTGAGAGTGGCCCAGCAGTGTCAGGGGAAGGAGCAACAGAAGAAGCGGTTTAGCTAATTTGTAATGCTATTTCTTAAGGGGGAAAGTCAGTCTTTCCTTTTGTTTTTTATTAATGCTCCCATTATAAAGTGCATAAGGTTGTGGATGAACTACAACTCCCAAAATTGTGGGTCAATCCTCCCCAAATTCCCACCAGTATTCACAGATGGCCATGTTGGGTCCGCGTTCCAAGTTTGGTCCAGATCCATCATTGTTTGAGCCTACAGTTCTCTCTGGATGTGGGTGAACTACAACTTCCAAAATTACTGGTCAGTCCTACCCAAATTCCCACCGATATTCACAGTTGGTCATGTTGGGTCCTTATTCCAAGTTTGGTCCAGATCCATCATTGCTTGAGTCCACAGTGCTCTCTGGATGTAGGTGAACTACAACTCCCAAAATTGTAGGTCAATCCTCCCCAAATTCCCACCAGTATTCACAGATGGCCATGTTGGGTCCGTATTCCAAGTTTGGTCCAGATCCATCATTGTTTGAGTCCACAGTGCTCTCTGGATGTAGGTGAACTACAACTCCCAAAATTGTAGGTCAATCCTCCCCAAATTCCCACCAGTATTCAGTTGGCCATGTTGGGTCCGTGTTCCAAGTTTGGTCCAGATCCATCATTGTTTGAGACCACAGTGTGCTCTGGATGTGGGTGAACTACAACTCCCAAAATTGTAGGTCAATCCTCCCCAAATTCCCACCAGTATTGACAATTGGCCATGTTGGGTCCGTGTGCCAAGTTTGATCCAGACGGCTAGTAGTAGTAGTAGTAGTAGTAGTAATAATAATAATAATAATACTTAAATTTCCTACTTGACAGTTGCAACTGTCTTTTGGGCTGCAAAGGTCAACAGCAAGCTACACAAATTGTTCGGAAGCTCACTTCGACCCGGGCTAGCTTCGAACTCATGACCTTTTGGTCAGTAGTGATCTTAATGTAGCTGAACTAGAACTAGAACTGGAACTAGAACTAGAACTTCCCTACCCAAAGGGCGGTAGTTCTCCAAAGTCCCTCTGAGGTCCTGCTCATGCATCTCTGGGGGTCTGCATAACAATTTGGAGCATAATGTGCCCCCTTTGATGTTGTTCAGGGGGCAACATATGCCCTTTTCTTCTTATAGCAAACCCTCAAGGTAATTCCCATTTGGGAGGCAGGTAACAGATGCCGGGAAGAGGGATAGCTTCCCAGGAGTTAAGCTGAAATTGGAAATTGCGGCCCGTGTGTCCGTTGCCCACGCCTTTTCCTTCCAATCTCCCCCCATCGATACCACTCCCTCCCCAGTTGACGGTGAGAGCCCTTGACATTCATTCGGCAGCTGGCATTTTTCCGCTATCGGCATAATTTTTTTTACAGCCCTTTTCAGCGGAGGGAAAGTGCTTTCAGCGCATCTCATTCTAATCTCTATTCTTTGAAAAGGTTGGCGATTGCGGAAAAGGTCTGGGTTTTCTACACTGTCGGCGCTGGGAAATGGAGAAGGGCGCGGGTTGAAGGAGAAGAGAGATTGAGAGAGGGCGGGGAGGGGGAGGAGGCCGAACGGAGAACCATCAGGTGGAGGAACAGCAGGGTGAAAGCGTTACCAAAGAATCCTAGAGTTGAGAGAGGCCTTGTGGCGCATCTGGTCCAACCCCATTCCGCCAGGAAGCAGGGAAATTGCATCCAAAACATTGTCTAAATGCCCACAAACCCTGATTGAGAGAGGGCGGGTACCAGGCTCAGAGGCAGAATGGAGAACCATCAGGTGGAGGAACGGCAAGGTGAAAACATTACCAAAGAATCCTAGAGTTGAAAGAGGCCTTGTGGCGCATCCGGTCCAACCTCATTCTTCCACGGAAGCAGGGAAATCGCATCCAAAACATTGTCTAGATGCCCACAAATCCTGATTGAGAGAGGGCGGGTGCCAGGCTCAAGAGGCAGAACGGAGAACCATCAGGTGGAGGAACGGCAAGGTGAAAGCGTTACCAAAGAATCCTAGAGTTGAGGGAGGCCTTGTGGGGCATCCAATCCAACCTCATTCCACCAGGAAGCAGGGAAATCGCATCCAAAACATTGTCTAGATGCCCACAAATCCTGATTGAGAGAGGGCGGGTGCCAGGCTCAGAGGCAGAACGGAGAACCATCAGGTGGAGGAACGGCAAGGTGAAAGCATTACCAAAGAATCCTAGAGTTGAGAGAGGCCTTGTGGCGCATCCCAACCTCATTCCACCAGGAAGCAGGGAAATCGCATCCAAAACATTGTCTAGATGCCCACAAATCCTGATTGAGAGAGGGCGGGTGCCAGGCTCAAGAGGCAGAACGGAGAACCATCAGGTGGAGGAACGGCAAGGTGAAAGCATTACCAAAGAATCCTAGAGTTGAGAGAGGCCTTGTGGCGCATCTGATCCAACCCCATTCTTCCAGGAAGCAGGGAAATTGCATCCAAAACATTGTCTAGGAAGCAGAGAAATCGTATTCAAAACATTGTCTAGATGCCCACAAATCCTGATTGAGAGAGGGCGGGTGCCAGGCTCAGAGGCAGAACAGAGAACCATCAGGTGGAGGAACGGCAAGGTGAAAGCATTACCAAAGAATCCTAGAGTTGAGAGAGGCCTTGTGGGGCATCCGGTCCAACCCCATTCCTCCAGGAAGCAGGGAAATCGCATCCAAAACATTGTCTAGATGCCCACAAATCCTGATTGAGAGAGGGCGGGTGCCAGGCTCAGAGGCGGAACGGAGAACCATCAGGTGGAGGAACGGCAAGGTGAAAGCGTTACCAAAGAATTCTATAGTTGAGAGAGGCCTTGTGGCGCATCCGGTCCAACCCCATTCCACCAGGAAGCAGGGAAATTTCATCCAAAACATTGTCTAGGAAGCAGGGAAATCGCATCCAAAACATTGTCTAGATGCCCACAAATCCTGATTGAGAGAGGGCGGGTGCCAGGCTCAGAGGCAGAACAGAGAACCATCAGGTGGAGGAATGGCAAGGTGAAAGCGTTACCAAAGAATCCTAGAGTTGAGGGAGGCCTTGTGGGGCATCCGATCCAACCTCATTCCACCAGGAAGCAGGGAAATTGCATCCAAAACATTGTCTAGATGCCCACAAATCCCGATTGAGGGAAATTGCATTCAAAACATTGTCTAGATGCCAACAAATCCTGATTGAGAGAGGGCGGGTGCCAGGCTCAGTGGCAGAACGGAGAACCATCAGGTGGAGGAACAGCAAGGTGAAAGCATTACCAAAGAATCCTAGAGTTGAGAGAGGCCTTGTGGCGCATCCGGTCCAACCCCATTCTTCCAGGAAGCAGGAAAATCGCATCCAAAACATTGTCTAGATGCCCACAAATCCTGATTGAGAGAGGGCGGGTGCCAGGCTCAGAGGCAGAACGGAGAACCATCAGGTGGAGGAACGGCAAGGTGAAAGCATTACCAAAGAATCCTAGAGTTGAGAGAGGCCTTGTGGCGCATCCGGTCCAACCCCATTCTTCCAGGAAGCAGGAAAATCGCATCCAAAACATTGTCTAGATGCCCACAAATCCTGATTGAGAGAGGGCGGGTGCCAGGCTCAGAGGCAGAACGGAGAACCATCAGGTGGAGGTTCTTAGGTGAAAGCGTTACCAAAGAATCCTAGACTTGGGAGAGGCCTTGTGGGGCATCCAATCCAACCCCATTCCGCCAGGAAGCAGGGAAATTGCACTCAAAACATTGTCTAGATGCCCACAAATCCTGTCTCTATCCAGGATCACCATTATGGTCCAATCCCAAGAGCTCCGGGTTGTGTTGCTAGGCTAGCGTTGAGACAACAGGTTGGTTCTGACCTCCACCGAGCCAAGGTTGGTGTCCAGGTTTTTGGGGATTTGGGTTTTTGTGTCTGCATTTGTGCCTGAGAATGCAACTCAACTGAAAATGCCATTCGTCAAGATCTATTTCCCTCTCATTTTGTACTGACGGAATCACACACAAGTGCCTCGC